TTATAGAAAAATCAAACATTTAGAATATGTAATATTCTTTTAAACTACATTTACTCTTAGTTTAATTTCTACTGTACCAGGAACTCAAAAACCAAAACAGGTTGTACTCACATCATTCTTTAAAAGCCTAAATTGAGTCACTTTCCTTATAAAAGTTATTTTACTAGAATATATGTTAAAATTGTTTAAATGTTTTCAGAAATCATTCTATTGTGACCCTCCAACCAAATATCTCTATTTCCCTAGTTATTTCTAAATCCCACTCTCCCCTGAACATTAAACTTCTTTTACTTCCTCTTAAAAATAGAGTTTCTATAATATGCAGATGTAAATAAGAAGGAACTCTAACCCTTTGCAACAGCATGGATGGACATGGAGAGTATTATGCTAAGTGAAATAAGTCAGTTAGAGCAAGACAAATATCACATGATCTCACTTATATGTGGAATCTAATGAACAAAATCTGACAAACATAGAACCAGAAGCATGGACACATGGAACAGACTGACAAATGTCAGACAGGAGGGTGTTGGGGGACTGGATAAAGGAAGATGAAGAGATTAGCTAAAGAACATATATATGCATAGTCCATGGACATAGACAATAGTGTGGGGAGGGCCAAGGGAGAGGGGTCAGAGGCTGGAAGGAGTGGGCAACCAGGATGGGGGGGAGGGAATGGGGACATCCGCAATAGTGTCAACAATAAAAAATTAAATTTAAAAACATAGTTTCTAGAATTAAACACAGTACTCTAGATTTGATCATATGAGGGCAGAATAACATATGTTCATCTTCTGATTCTTTCATGGAAATTTATTTCTCCCAATACAACCTATTAATTCCACCTGTTGTTTTTTTTTTTTGATATCCATATCATGTTTAACTCATACTGACCTAATGTCAAAAAATTCTTAATCATTTTCTATAAAGTACTGCTAAACCAAGTTTTCTTTATTCTATATTTATGCAGCTGAACTGTTCTTTGGGAGAGGAGAATGGTCCTCAACTTGGAGATAGAATATGTTTTACATTTTAAAAAATGTTTTGTTCACAGGATGTACATATTCTGAAAAATTAAACATAGAAATTTTACTGAGGGATATAAAATATAAATTTTGAAATTCATATCCTACCTGTAAAAACCTGGTGGTACTTGCTGAGCCAGGAAGTTCTTCTCCATGTCTTGGAGAATGTCATTCAGCATTCGGACACGCACTGGAACTCTCTCCCTGGGATCATTAGCAGGACGCATCTCATCTGACTGAAAGAGTTCAGCACTGTCCCGCAGGCGTGAGGCCAGGGCTAGCAGTTGATGAGTATTGGGTTGATCACCTGGTGAAGATAAATGAGCTCATCTCAGAAGAGACATTCTCAAGGGAGCAAATGATTATGATGTATTGTCTAAATGCATTGTACTCTACTAAGCTTATTAAATTTACCACTGCTACTACTAGTACTAATCATAATTGCCACTAATAATAATAGTACCATCAATAAATAGGTACTGATAGTTGAGAGACTATATTCCAGGTACTGGGTTGAGCACATTACATATTTATCTCATTTAATATTCACCAAACCTTGTATTGTCATGTCTATCTCATAGAGGGTGAGAATGAATTAAAGTAAGCAAATTGCCATAGATCATCAAGCTACATAAATGACAGGCTACAATCAGAAGATGGATCTTTCTGACACAAATATTCAGATTAGTCCACACATTTTCAAGTTTAAGAAGCACTGTGGAGAGGTGATATGCTCAGAAAAAGAAAACTAGGTTAGAATTAAGGCCGATGTATAAAATATGTCTGTTGTGGAATTACCAATCACTAATACAATGATCTTTTTGTCTCTCACCTTTATTGGATGGGGATCATTTTACATGTCAGTTTCTCTAGAGTCCAGCATAGTGCTGACACTCAACAGTTGTTTACTACATAAACAAAATAAATTTAATACATTATTTTTTAAAAAAATACAATAAGGAAAGAAAACATGTAAAGTTAAGTGGTTTTCATAACGGATATAAAAAGATAACACTCTTTGTAACTCTTTAGTCACTGAAATTAACAACATAAATAAAATCAAATGTTTACAGGTTTTGGCATTTTGATGTTTTTATAGTACATTTCACATTCATTAATTATCTTGTTTGATTTCACAACAAAACTTGATGTTGTGAGAAGACATATTTTTACTCATTTAGAAAATCTACCCCTATAAATAACAATAATATCACGTTATTTTTTCTTATTTTACTTTTTCTATCACTCTTTATGCCCCCCTCCACCTCCATCCACCACACTCCCCGCAATCACTACATTGTTGTTCTTGTTCATGAGTTCTTTCTCTTTTTTATCTCTTTTGCTTAATCCCCCTAGCGCCCCCCACAAGACCTACTAATATAATTAGATAAAGATATGATTTATCTTGAATTATTATAATTTGCCAAAGTTAATATATGGAGAACTTACAGGGAACATCTTGGCACAAGGAATGAGCAAAATAGATAGGAGACATTTATTTTATGCTGGGATTGAAAGACTGAGCAACAGTAAAAACAAGTTCGACATCCTTGAGAGTCTTCCATTTAAGAAAGAAAAATCTGTTCTGATGTAACATACACTACAAAATTGAAGACATTACTAGTGAATCAAGTGAGACAAATTGTACCATTCTACCTTATTTAGCTTTAAATGAATTGATCTTTCATGGTGGTGTGGACACAGAGCTTTGATGGCTTTAGGAACTAGCTAGATCCAGAAAGATTCCTGGGAGCGGAAATCTGCCCTCCATGGCACACACCTATGCATGACCTCAAGGGTATGAGGCTACAAATGGAAAAGTAGCTGCACTTTCAATGCTCATGAATCATCTTGCGCTATAACTGATGTTCTAAAGATTCCTAATGGTCATTTCTGTGCTAATTAGAGCTTATTTGTCCCTTTAAATAAGACTGAGAAAGTAATGTCGCCTTTTTATGTAGGTTTTTGTTACTCCAAATGTTTGCTCTTTTATAATCCTTAGGATCCATACTAAAATGCCAGTTCTGTGAGGGAAAAAAAAAAGATTGTTGGTAGTGGTTTTGTTCACTACCATTTGGCAGCACCTAAAACTGTGCCTGTGTTTTGTTGAATGACTGAACATGCGAATTGTGGACTTTCGATCATAGCATCACGACATCTGTCATATTGTAATACGTATTTGTCTTGTCTCTCTCCTTTCCCTGGCTGAAAAGAACCCCAAAAGATCCACACATATGTTTTATCTCTCTTTGCATCTCCAAATTCTAGCATAATACCTTACACATTATTGTCACTTAATAAAAATTTTGTTGGGTGAATGTTGAATTATAGGAAAATGTCTTATTTGAAATATATTATTATATTAAATAATGCCTAAAAATTACCCAGGGAGATTTTTAGAACATACTAAAAAATATTGTTTTCTTTACTTTCTTGCTGAAATCAATAACAGTTGCAAAGAAAAAATTTAAAAATAGAAGAGGCTATCTAAGGGTAATGATAAGTTAAACTAAATTGAATTAAAATCAAGGGTTTGGGGTATTTTTTTGGTAATTTTTATAAAAAATGTGTTCTTATTGATATCAGAGAGAGAGGAAGGGGGAAGGAGAGAGATATACATAGATTGCTGCCTCCTGCATGCCCCCTACTGAGTATCCAGTCCACAACCACAGCATATGCTCTGAACGGTAATCACACCAGTGATATTTTGGTTCATGAGAGAACACTCAACCAACTGAGCCAGGGCAATAGTTCAGGTTTAATAAATACACCAAGAACATGAAGTAGGAGCTAGAGATTTCTCTCAAGGAGAAATAATGTAATTATCCTAAAGTAATATGTATATGGACTGGAAAACCAAGGACTCGATATAAAAAACAGAGAAGAGCTTGATCTACTTAATTACCATCAATGCGGTCTTGAACAGATTACTTAATACTAGTGTCCTTCAATTTCCTTGTGGAAAATGGAGAACATGTTTATTTCACTCTTTAAGCATAAAGATCACTATGTTAAGGCAAGTTATTGTTAACAGAGTACACAAACTAAACACAAATTATTACCAACTCATTTTCTAAAGGCATGCAAAAAATACTGTAACAGCTTTAATATTGCTTTTATTCTCAGAAATGTTATTGCTCATTACTTTGTTCAATCCATGGCCTCTCCCAGCAAACATATTGGCCACTTCCCTACACACTTTAATCAGCATTCTCTATGAATCTAGCACCATTTTTTCTTTCCATGGGCTAGCATATCAAATCTCTGGAGAATAAGGGAAGAAATAATACAAAGGGCAAAGGAATTAAACATCCACTCTCTAAAAATGATTCTTCTATATCTTTGCTCCAAGTGAAAGGAAACCATTAATAAGTTTTTATAGCATGGCAGAAAAAACTGATTGGTAAAATATATTAAAAATAAACATTAAAAATACAAAATAATAGAGATTCTCTTAATGTTATTGAAGAGACAACTAAAATGTACTTCTAGGTTTCAAACAAAAAATTTGTGTCCTAGTTGGTTTGGATCAGTGGATAGACCATCAACCTGCAGAGTGAAGGGTCCCAAGTTCCATTCTGGTAAAGGGCACATGCCTGGGCTGTGAGCTCGATCCCCAGTAGAGGGCATGCAGGAGGCAGCCGTTAAAATCTCCTATCTAACAAAGGAGGAATATGCTAATTGACCCTCACGCTGTCACAAAATGGTGGCACCCACAGCCAATAAGGGGGATATGCTAATTGACTGCCCTGCCCTCAAAGATGGCAGCACCTACAGCCACAAGATGGCGGTGCCCAGTCCCCTCAGTGCCAGGGCTCCTAATTGACTGCCCTGCCCTCAAAGATGGCAGCACCTACAGCCACAAGATGGCGGTGCCCAGTCCCCTCAGTCCTGCCAGGGCTCTGCACACCTTCCTCTAGAGTCCCCCAGTCCCCTCAGCCCCCCAGCCACCCAGGGCTGACCTGAGGTGCAGGCAATCCTCTGATGGTGGCTGTCCAGCTGCCCAGGGCTGGCCTGAGGCACAGGCAAGCCTCAAATGGTGGCTGCCCAGCTGCCCAGGGCCGTCCGGGGCTCAGTTAACCAGGGCCTGCTGAGGCACAAGCAAGCTTCTGATGATGGCTGCCCAGCCGTCCAGGGCTGGCATGAGATGCAGGCAAGCCTCATATGGTGGCTGTCCAGCCACCCAGGGCCAACCAAGACTCAGTTAACTAGGGCCAGCCGAGGCTTGCGCTGCTGGCAGTGGCAGCAGCAGAGGTGTGATGGGGCATCACCTCCCCCTGATCGCGAGGTTACATACCACCCCTGAGGGCTCCCAGACTATGAGAGGGGCAGGCCTGGCTGAGGGACCCCCCTTTCAGTGCACGAATTTTCATGCATTATATATATATATAATATTTGTGTGTTTTTCTTCTTTCATCTCCAAGGAAAATAACAAATGTATTCTTAGTAAGTACTTACTGAGTCCTATTTTGTGTGCTATTCTGGAAGTGTTGGGAGAGGGGTAAAGACATAAGATTAAATCTGGAACCTTAATAGGTTTCTAATCTAGTTATAAATAATCCACAAATTGAGAGTAAATAGTGTCAGATGAAATTAATGCTCATGAGGATGACTGAAGAGTTCATTGTGTACAAGAATACGCTTAGTAGATCTCAGGGGAGAAATAAAACTTGAGAGAGAAAGCATAAATTTGCCCAAAAATTAAGGGCATCTCAAATGGAACTCTTGAAAGTTCTTGGACTTGATAGATGTTAAAATGGTTGAGGCAAGTGTTCCATCTGAAAACAATATGATTAGTGTTCCCCAAGTCCTCACCTGTTTAGAGTTTTAATCTACCTCTAATGTAAACCCTTTTATCTTTCTGGCTTTTTCTGGGTAGGACAGAGATGGACATTATAAGCAGTATCAATATTCATTGAAGAGCAGGAAGGGAGAAAGGGAGGATGGAAGGGAAGGAGAGAGGGATGGTGGGAAGGAAGAATGACTGGTCAGCAGATGTTGAGATGCACATTGGCATCTAAGCAAGCCAATTCAGGAGAGGCTTTAAAATATACTGGAGGAAATATTCCTACTACTCAGGGAATCTCCTGCCTTCTAGCCAACCAGCAACAGATAGCATCCTCCCCTGAAGGCAGTTTGAGAGGCAGCATGCTGTTGTGGAAAGGGCAGGGCCTTTGGAATCTCGCAGACCTATACTCAAGCCCTAAACCTACCATTTAAATGTATACACTTGAGTAAGACACACACACACATACACACATACACACACACACACACACACAGAGCACACAATGCCCCCCCCCCAAC